AAAGTGCTTAGCGCAGTGCTCAACACATGAGAAGCGCTGTGTAAATGTTGGCTATTATTATTATGTGGCAGATTCCGGTTTACAAATATTATCTCATTTAATTATCACCACACTGGGAAGCAGATGGTGTCATTATTGTCCCTGTTTTACAGATAAGGAAACTGAAACTGAAGGAGATCACATGACTTTCCCAGAGTCATACACTGTCCCAGGCTGAGCTCAAGGTCTTCTTTGGTCTTCCTGACCCTTTTCAAGGCTTTCTTCCATCCAAACTATGTAACTTGAAAGCTCTAAGAACAGAGATATTCCTGTTCAACCACTCTTTGATAACAGTGTAGACACTCCCCAGCCCCTTCTAGCCCCTAGAAAGTGCACCCAGATCCAAAATCATTTCCATTTCCCGTTCTCCCAGTCTGTTTCCCACCAACTTTTCTGGTCTTTGGTCATGTCACTGCCCTTCATGTCTTCTCTGTTCTAGTCACACTGGCCAGCTGAGATAAGTCAAACCAGGACAGGGAGCCTGGCTGGGCCATCAGGGTGGGAAAGAGTTCCCGAGCTGGGAGAGGGTGATGGTTAGTATAGGCAGAGGAGCACCTCCTTCAGGTCCCATGATCCTAGGATGAATAGTGAAGGTCAGAGGACTCTGTAGGTGCTGGTAGGCCGTAGGTATAACTCAGGAGCTCAGTTCACTTCTGTTGACTGCCTCCCCACCCCAAACTCAACTGTGTTGTAAGATGTGCAGACTTCCCAAAGCCCAGACTTCTGGCTGCCTCTGGTCTCTCTGGCCTCTGTCCTCCTGCCCCACACCCATCGCCTCTTAATCCCTGCCCTAATTCACCCAAATGTGATGTTCCATCTGAATTCAGTATCTGAAGAGCAAAGATATATTCCCGTTGAGATCAAAGCCAACTTGTCATCATCACTGGATTGCAGGCCACCAACTGCAGTAATGCTTCCTTCTATGATATGCCTGGACTGCTAGGGCCACCCTCTAGGATTGGGAAATAGAGCTTGCATCAGTAGGCTGGGTGACCCACTGTCCACTGTAGCCTCCTCCCACTGGGTGCCCTCTGGGGCCGAAGTACAGTGGGGCAGACTGAAAGACAGCCAGCTCGGCTCCTCAGGGCCCCAGGCCCACAAAGTTCCCTTGTGTCTGCCAAGCTGGCACCATTCAAGTCAACATATAAAGTAACAAGAGGCCAACAATGAGCCCTCCCAACTCTGAGCCCTCCAGGGCCTCCTTTATGAAAGTCTGTGGCTTGAAAGAGATGACCCAGGCCCCCATGGCTTTGCCTACTGTCTATAACTGGACCTCCTGGCCCTGTTCCAGGCTTGCTGGGGAGCACAAGCACTGTCCCTTCTGGGCCAGGGACAGACATGGGCTGGGTGAGTCTTGGGATGTGAATTTAGTTTTGTGACAGTCATATCCATGATTCACAGGGAAAATCTGAGGGCCTCTTTTTTAAACTGCATGATTTGGAGCCTCTTTGGAAAGCCCTCCTTGTACAAATACACCCAGGAGCCCTAACAGATGAAAAGCTCTCCAAAAACGGTTATTAAAAATCTATGGAGTGACTATCGCTGTTCTAGAAAAAGTGAGGCCCAAGGACATGGCCAACACAATCCTTACTGGGCAGATGGCATTGTGTGGGTCCTATGTAACAGGCTCTGCTTATATGTGGAGACAGAGGGGAGATAGAGGAAGCAGTGGTGGAGGGGAGCTCAGATAAAGGGGGGTTGATGTGTGTGTGGGTATGTGGATGTACATGTAAGTGGCAGGGGAGTTTAGCTGAGGCAGAGCAGGCTGCTGGGCTGGACACAGAGCTTCAGGTTGAAGGAGTGAGGAGGGAGGTCATGTATAAAGAGGAAAAAAGAAAGAAATGAGTTGTAAACCATAGAGTTATAGATGCATCATGGTGGAAGACAAGATTTGGAACCCAGAAGACCTAGATTTGAATCCCATATCTGACCTTTACTAACCGTATGACCCTGGGCAAATCACATAATCCTCATCTGTAAAATGGGAGTTAACATAGGACCTATGTCACAGGTGTTTTGTGAGGGTCCCATGAGATCATGTATGTAAAGCAATGCCTCCATAGGAACTATTGTTATTCAGATGGACTCAGTGGATCACAGGATGTCAGAGCTCAAAGGAAACTTAGAGCATGTGCAGCCCAATCCCTCATTTTGTAGAAGACAATGAAGCCTGGAGGGAAGGGACCTGTCCAAGGTTGTCCAAGCTCAGTGGCAACTTTCTTTGAGAGATGGAGACCTGTGTAGACCTGCCTCTCAGCTCTTGATGAGGGGGAGGGGAGGCCAGGAAGCAGTTTGTCAAAAAAAAAAAAAAAGATCTGGGCATCTCAGTGAACTTGCAAGCTCTGTAGGAGTCAGTGGTACAGTGTGGCAGCCAAAGAAGCAGTGGTCACCTTGGGTAGAACTGAGTGGCAGACCCTCCAGCAGAGAGGACTCAGTGCTGTCTCTGGGCCCTCTGGGCCCTCCCTGTTCTGCCCCATCAGACCTCATCTAGAGCAGCGTGTTCATTCCAGGGCACCATCGCTTGAGGCGGGCATTGGTGTACTGGAGGGTGCCCCCAGAGAAGGACAGCTGGGAGGATGAAGAGCCTGGAGTCCTGGTCATGGGAGGCTCACTGGGAAGAAATGGAGATGTCCAGTCTAGAGAAGAGCAGCAGGGGAGGGGGGCCGGGGGAAGATGACTGCTCCATTTAAGGGTCTGAAGGGCAGATCTGGAGGAGGGATTAGCCTTTTCTCCTTCGAAGGTCAGGAACCAAATGAAAGGAAACATGGTTCTCAGAGGTGTGCAGAGGTGAGGGGGCAGCCTGGGGGGGGTTGGGAGTCCCCTTACTAGAGGTCTTGAAGCAGAGGAGGCTGGAGGGCCAGCCATAGTGCAGAGAGCTGGTCAGAAGTTGGATGACCACAGTTCAGATGCAGCCGAGCCTCAGCGACCCTTGATCTCCCTCATCTGTATGTAGGGTCATGGGTATAGAGCTGGAACAGAACCTTGTGGAGGGGGCTAGTGCAGCCTCCTTTCTACAGGGGAGGAAGTTGTTGGTGTTTGGCCAAAAGGGAAAGTGGCAGAAGGCTGGAAGGCTTCAGACTCCAAATGCAGGGCTCATGCAATGTGACAAAATGACCTCCATATTCCTGGAGAGAAGCTGCTGGCCTGGACAGCCAGTGGGCAGCTCATCTCTGCATCCTTTCAAACCCACAAAAGGCACATTTTCTTCCAGGAAAGTACAGGCTTTAAAGTGATCTTTTCTCTCTGCTGCCCTCTCCATGTTTCCTGTCCCTTTTTTAATGCCCTCGCCCTTTCCCTAAGGATTCCCCCCACAGTACCCAGGCAGTGGGCCCAGAGATGAAACCTGGGAGCAGGCAGGGCCCTGGGTGGCCAGGGCCACAGCCCTCCTGGGCATCAGAAGCCCTATTTGTTTTCTCCCTTCCTCACTATCTCTCTCCAAGGCCGGAAGCTTGAGCCAAGCCCTTATTAGCTCTTGGGGCTGGAGAGCCCACAAGCAAGAGATAGGACAGGAATTCTGTTGACCCAAGCCAGTGGCCCCATGTCTTAATTCTTGGTGCAAACTCCCCAGCAGCCGGCCCACAATGGGCCAGCAGGTCACACTCTGCCCTTTGAGGCTGAAGGAGTCTTGTCCATAAGCTCCTATGGCATTGTCCTGGGAATCAGAAGGGTCCTTCTGAGTGAGGGTGGGGTCTTGAGAAAAAAAAAGGAAATACCCCCCCACCTCTACCCCCCCCCCAGGCCTGCATGCAGCTTCTATCCCGTCCTGCATCTCCAGGCTGCCATCCCTTCTCAGGCCCACGTTGCCATAGAGATGTTGTCTGATCCATCTCTATTGAGTTCCCCCCCTCCCAGGGCCTTGAATGGACACTGAGGAGGGTAAATGTATTCAGTGACATTGAGCGGATGATTCTATTCTGTGGGATCTCTGCCCCATTTGTTTCCAGCCTTGTCTGAGGGTTGGGCCGCAGTGTTAGGCTTTGGGGGCACGTGCCCCCCTCGCAGGCTCGGAGTTAATGGAGGCCTTGTTTGGACCCACTGGGGTAGAAAGTGTTCTGCTGGGGAGGACAAAAGCTGGCGGGCCACCTCAGAGGCTGTTTGGGAAGGCTGTCTCTACAGGGCTCTCAAAGGAAATGGGAAATAACAGGGAGCAGAAGGGAACAGCCCCGCAGGCAGGCTCTGTCCAGCCCAGCCACCTCCTTTCCTTCTCTGGCACATCTGGACTTCCCACTAAGCTTGGGCACTGCCGAGGTGGGAGTTTTGCTGGTCGAGGGTTTAATTAGGCTGCCCTTTTCCTGCCCACTGAAGGAGAGCACCTCTGCCCCACCCCCTCCCAGCAGTGGGCGAGCTAGGGGACACAGAAGGCTCCTTGGGGCCAGCATCCAAAGGAGGTGAATGATATTCAACACAAACCCTCCCTTGCCAGATTGCTTATATAGGAGGCAATGCGGCGCAGAGCTCTGGGAGCTCAGAACCTGGGTTCATATCTTGCTTCTGACCCTTACTCTCTGTGTGGCCTTGGGCAAGATCAGCTGTGCCTCAGTTTCCTTCTCTGTATAATAAGGAGTTTGGACTATATGGCTTCTGGGGTCCCTTCCAACTTGAGAATGGTCCAGACATCACAAAATCTCAATTTAGGAAGGAACCTGACAGGCCAGCTGGCCTGGCCTTAGACCCTGGCAGGAAGGCAGCTTAACCCCATGCAGCATCCCGGATAGCTGGTTCTGCCAATTTCTTCAGAGGCCTCCTTAAGGGTTAGGAAGGGACATCGAGGAGAAATCATATTGGGAATCCACGAACATGTATTTATCCCCTCCCCTCCCCCAGCACCTGCCTCCCCCCCACCTCCTGGGACTAAGCAGCGTCCACCCGTGTCCATATCAGACACAGCTTTCATCGCCCTACCTTCACCTGCCCAAGCCTCCCCTCCATCCTCCCCAGCACAAGAAACCATGGCAACAAGCTTTGCTGAAGCACCTACTGTATGCCACACACTGGGCTGAGGGCTGAGGTTACAAAGAAAGGCAGAAAGAGACCCTGTCTTCAAGAACATCCCATTGCAATGAGGGAAACAACATGAGAACAGCCAGCTGGGCCGGCTGAAGTGGGGGTGGGGTACCCCCAGGGAGAGACAGGAGGTGGCAGGTACTGGGCAAGTCAAAGCACCACCATGTGCCCTTGACCCTGATAGCCCATGACCCGAGAGCTTTGGGGGTAGCCACGCTTCTGGCCCGGGGAAGCTGCCCCCATGGACCCAGAAAAGGAAATTCTCCCCTCAAAGTCCTCAGCCTGTCCAACAGCCCAATGTTACGTTAAGGAGACACGAGAATCTGCTTCACTGTTGCCCAGTAAAGCCCGGGGGACCTTTCCATGGGACGTGCAGCTGAAACCCTCCCTAGGTGCTCACTCTCTCCTCATTGGGATGGAAGCTCCATGAGGCTGGAGCTGCCCCACGTTTCCCTTTGTGTCCCCAGCACACAGTCCAACGATGTGTACTCAGTAAGTGCTTAATAAACACTTTCTTCACTGGATCCAGTACAAACATAACATCTGTGGGATAAAGTCGAGATAATTGAGAGCAGAAGGACATTGGAATGAGGGGAACCAGGAAAGGCTTCTTTAAACAGAGATATTCTTGATGACTGGTTTTGTTTCATCCCCATTGTCTTCTCCAGCATCCCCCCCCCCAAGCTATTCCATAGAGACAAAACAGAAAAAGAAGAGAAAAAAAGCAGCACAAATGACCATACGTTGAAAAAGTCTGCAAACAAAGTCAACAGGAGTGGAATGAGGAGGGGGAGCTGGAGGGTGTCCTCTCCTGGCCCTGCATAGGAGGAGGGGCTGGGGAGGGGTCCTCTCCCACATCTCCTAAGTCCTGTTTCTTCTTTATAATTGTGTGACTTTCCCTTTTAATATGGGGGTGGGGGGGTGGGCCTGGGTAGGGAAGGTTCTTTCCATTTGCATTACCTCAGTCACTGTCTGCAATGTTTTCTTGGCTCTGCTGACTTCACTCTGCATCTGTTGGTATAGAGATGATGGAGATAACCAGCTTTTTGTGCTTTTCCACATTCATCATATAGATCATTTATTACAGAACAGGAACACTCCATTACATCCCTGTGTTATAATTTGTTTAGCCATCCCTAATCAATGAGCATCTACTTTGCTTCTAATTCTTTGCTATCACTAAAAGTGCTGCTATAAATATTTTGGTGTATGTGAGGAATTTCTTCAGATCAATTACCTTCTCGGGGTCTAAACCAAGTAACAGAGTCAGTGGGTCAAAGGGTATTGACATTTTCATCACTTTGTGTGCGTAATTCCAAATTACTTTCCAAAATGGTTGTGCCAACAATGCACCAGTGTGCTTAATCACGGGACATGATTTTGTAGAAGGTGTAACTTTGTCTGTGACCTGAAAGAAGCCGGAACATGGAGAGAGAGAGAATTCCAGACCTGGGGGTCAGCCAGTGAAAATTCATGGAGCCCAAAGATGTAGTGTCCTGCACACTGGTGTGCTGGTGATATTTAACAACCGCTCACTGAAAACAAATCCTCATGGCCCAGCTTTAAGTTCAATCTGCATTATTAAATGCTTCCTCGATTTCTTAAGCTGAGACAATCAGCGAAACAGTCAATCAAACCCTGATCTGCAGCACTGTCTATTTCCAAGGTGCAAATGCTCATGCTGAGCATTTAACAATCACCTTTCGAGACTCGGTTTGAGCAGTTCTAGCACACCTTCGTGCAAGGACAGCCAGGAGGCTAGTGCCACTGAGTTGTAGAGTTCAAGGAGGAGAGTAAGGTGTGAGAAGAATGGAAATGTAGCAAGGGGTCATGAAGGCCTTTAAACCAATCAATCAATGAACAGGTATTTATTAAGCACTCCTTTCGTTCTGAGAATCTTAGCTGGAGAAGAGTATGGGAAGGCTAGTCAATGCAAATGGTAGATGGTGTGTGTGTGTGTGTGTGTGTGTGTGTGTGTGTGTGTGTGTGTGTGTATTGGAGAACAAGACAGCAAGGAGATATAGAATGCCTGGGTTGGAGGTGGGGTGGGAAGAGTACGATGTAGGAAATCGAAAAGGTGCTGAGGCGCCTTTACCACTGGTATCCAACTAAGGATCCCTGGGGCTACACATTGACTTAGGAAACTGCATATTAACATTATCTGTTCTCTTGTGTTTTTATTTATCATGTTAAATGTTTCCCAATGTCATTTTAATCTAGTTCAGGTTGGACTCGGCAGTGTTGCAACCTGTCTGTCTGGCATTCCTACTTTAAATGACAGCAAGCATTTATTAAGCACCTGGTACGCACCAGGCACCATACTAAACACTGGGTGTACAAAGAAAACTAAAAGAGAGCCCCTGCCCTCAAGGAGCTCACAGTCTAATGGGGGAGATAACGTGGAAAAGACTGTATAAAGAAGCTATGAAGAGGATACATTGGAGATCCCCTCAAAGGGACAAGACGCTTGAATTCAGGGGGACCAGGAAAGACTCCCTGAGGGATTGAGGAGCTGATGTTGGGTCCTGGAGGCTGATGAAGGGGATATGATCAGATTATGCTTTAGGAATCTTATTTTGGCTCAGAGTGGAAGAGAATGAAGTAATGCTGAAGTGATCAATGTTGATTGACTGACTGATTGGATTGAAGTGAGGCATGGTGACCAATTAGGAAGTCTTTAGAATAGCTCAGGCAGGAGGGAAGGAGAGTGGGGCTAGGATGTTGTTAAATGCCTTGTTAGTGGAGGGAAGAGGACAGACAGCTGAGATACCGTGGGGTTAGAAATGTTAATGTTCGGCAATTGATCAGTTATGTGAATTGAGTACGAATGAGAAGTCCAGGATGACACTTAGATTGAGAGCGAGTGACTGGGAGGATGGTGGGGCCCTGGAGAGCAAAGAGGAAAGGGGTCTTGGGGGAAGACCCTGAGTTGCATCCCCTGCCCTTTTGATCTCCTCTGTCCCTAGTGCAGCAATACACAATTTCATCCCACCTAAAGGGCAACAGGGGTCGGGCATGGAGCGGGCACCCCACCACACACATATGTATCTCTTTCCCAGTGTGAGAAAAAAGATGTTCATGAAATTGTCTGTTTCCACAGAAGTTCATGTAAAAACAGGATAGATCTAGAGCTGAGAAGTACCTACAGGCGATGCTCCACAGTGCGAAACAAGGGGAAAATGCCTGTGGATTAGTACGCCCTGATTAGCAGGTATTCTCTAACTAATAATAAAATAAGTAGTATATTAGCACATGCGTTATATTAGATTAGATCAATGATAAGTACTGACAGACAGCCAGCTGCTGCTCTGGCAGCCGCACGTGCTTGACGAGTCTGTCTGACACACCTGAAGCCGTTAGAGTGTCTGACACACCGGCAGGTAGAAGAGCTTGCTCTCGATTCCGTATCTCCTTGGGAGCAGCACGCGCTTCTTGCCAGAAATGAAACAAACGCCCTCCTTCCTCTGTTCACTGCCTTTGAGGCAAGCACTCTGCTTGTTTCTGTCACCGGTCCCAGGTCGAAGCCCAGTGAGTGCTGCTTGTGTTTGCCAGGGTGCGGCCAGGGCAGGGCCAGGGAAAGGAGAAGGCAGAAACCTTCCCAGCCTCTCTCCATTGGCTGCTCTTCAGATCTGATCCCCATCGGGTTTGTTCAGATGGGTTCTGGGCTGCAGATGTTTGTGGTTTTGCTAAATCCCTCTCTGTGGGAAGCACATCAGCCTGGCACGAGTGAGCCCTGCATCTTGTCTCTGTAGATCAAGGCCAGGGCTCTGGACGACAGTCGTCCCTGGTCTGCCTCTGGTTTGCCTCTGGTTGTCGCCCCCAGGCAAGGGGACCCTGGAGAAGTCTCTCGCTAATCCTGCCGTCCGTTTGGCTCCAACATGGCCCATCGAGGGAGGTCTGAAAGCACTGGGGCAGGGCTGCCAGCCTCAGCCCAGAGGCGTGCTTTGGCTCTACTCCTAGACATCTGTGAACCTGGCTCAGGGACTTTCCATTGTGTTGGGCTGAAGGACTGGTCTAGCAAAGCTGTCTGCCTCCATGTGAAGCTGAAGTCCCAGAAGAAAGCTCTAGGTGGCCTGGGGCTTTCCCTCAGACCTCTCCCACCTGATTCAGTGTAGGGACTGCTGACCTAATGGCAGAGCCCACTCTGAGGAGCTTAGCAGAGCCTCTGGCACAGAGGAGGCACCCCAGAAACGCTTGATTGACGTTGATTGAAGAGGGAAGACTGGAAGAGGATTGCAGGGTTCTCTCGGCTTCCAGGCCTCTGCTGGAGAACCAAGGCTCAGCCCACTCCAAGGTGGGGAGGTGCCCGGGATGTGAAATACCGACACAAGCAAAGGCTGGCCCTCCAGGGTTTGGGCCTCTCCTGGTGTGGCTGCTTTCTACTAAGGGCTCACCTCAGAGTAGCCAGGACCTCTTTCAAGTCTCAGGGGAACACACCCCGCCTCGCACCGTGTCCCACTTCCCAAGGCCTCCAGGGGCTGTGGTTCCCTCCGTTCCCCGTGTCACAGGCAGATCAACATCGGAGAGTGCTGGCCTTAGTCAGGAGACTTGGGCACTATTCTCGGCTCCAGCGGGCACTCCCTGGGTGACTCATGCTGCCTCTCAGTGCCTCAGTTTCTTCTTCTATAAAATAAGGATCATCCTACTTCACTTCCTACTTTGAAGGGTTGTTAGTGACAAATACACTTTGGAAACAGTAAACTGCCACGTAAATACAAGCAGTTATCGATAGTGCTGGGGTGGAATGGAAAGAGTCTTGGGGTTCTCCTGCCCACTGCCTGTGCTACGACCAACCTCCCAGGTAGGGTGAGGAAAGGGCTTGGGGAACCTTTAAGATCTACTGGAACAGGAGCTATTCACTGATTGTATTTAACAGGACAGAGAGAATTTGTTTTAATAAGTAAAGCTATGAAGCAACAGTTTATATAATAGGGGCATCTAGAACGCTGACATTTTGACACCTTCTTCTCCCTCTGCTTGTGGCCCCCCCACATGAGTAACAGACAGAATTATACATTTAAATCTGGAAGGGACATAAGAAGCCATCTACATCTACCTTAGCCCTTCATTTTATAACAGAGGAAACTGAGCCCCAGGCCAGTGCAGCAACTTGGCCGAAGTCACTCAGCTAGCAGTGACCAGAGTGGAATTTGAACCCAGATCTTCTGACTTCACATCGAGACTGCTCCCCGGCCCACCCAGCCTTCGGCAGAGGGACCTTCGTGGTCTGCCTTCTGGGGGAAGATGGTGAATTAAGGCACCTCGGAGATTTGTTCAGCTGCCCCGATCTCGATCTCGGAGGCCCCTGAGGACTGAAAGCTATTAGGGAAACCAGGAGAATTCTTCTAATTGACACTCCCTGTGGGCCTTAGCAAGGGAGGAGGGAAGAACCAAACACATAGCCTTGGGCATGTTTAGATACAACAGGAAAAATGCAAACCATCTGTCTATGCTTATGCTCTCCGAATCATGGCTACGATACATAAGGATGCACACGCACGGCACTCTTCTTTGGCCTTGGGTTTCAAAATTAATTCAGACCAATTGGGAGGATATGACTGGGAAGGGGATGCTCAACTTTGGGGCGGGGGTGCGCCCCATAGCATTAGGTGTAGGTGATATTCACCAACCTCCCTGGAAGAAGCAGAGGGCAGTGGGAGAGGAAGGATTAGCTTCTGTCCATTTTAATGAAATTATGTCCATTTTCCTTCTTTCCCCTCCTTTTTCTCCTTCTCCTCCTCCCTCCTCCCCTCTCCTCTCTCCCCTTTCCTGTTGTTATTACTATTATTTTGTCTGTATTGACGGCGTCATTATAGGGAATTCCCAGTGAGGAAAGTCCATCCTTTTCTGACAACCATGCGTGTCAGAGATTTTTCTGACTCTGAGGCTGATCCTTTTTCCATCATGCTTTCTGCCTGCCATGGTGGATGGGGCACTAGAATTGAAGTCAGCCTTGGTTCAAATCCTGCCCCAGATATTTATGAGCAGCGTGATGTTAGGAAAGTCACTTAAATTGTCTCAGTTTCCTCAGTGAAGAGGTTGGACTTGAGAGCCTTAGAGGTGCCCTGCAGCTCCTGATCTATGGCTTTTAAATGGTAGTGCAGATGTTATTATCCTCCAGAGAAGGCAATGATGCAAGTCTTCAGCCCTGGGGAGAGGTGCTCCCTTGCATTATACCTGCCTCCCTGGCAAAGACAATGAGGTGGAGATAGAGAATTCTCTTTCTATCCATCCGTGTTGTTAGACACACACAAATGATGATGACTGTTATAACACGCGTAAGCTTGGAGGATTCTTATTCCATTGTAACACATGAAACCTCAGACCCTGGAGCTGGTCCATCTCCTCCTAAAGGAGTCATGATGAATTGTCTAATGCCATCCTCGTGAGCCTCCGCTGGCTCCCAAAATGATTCAGTCTGGAACAACAGATCAGCCAGCCTTCAGTAAATTTTAACCAGGGAGTATTTACTAGGATGGGACAGTCAGAGATGGCGTGGGGGAGTGGGGAGCAGGCAGGACTGCCAGATGAGGTGCTGGCATCAATACTCACCTGTGCCGTGACCCCAAGTCCGCCACTGCACTAGCCCTGTCTGTGGCTCCAGAAGGGGGACCCAGCTTCTTCTTTCGGGAAACTTCCCAGGCAAATCCATCCTCCAGCAGGGACTGTGTTCCCATGATGTCCCTCTACAAGAGCAGGCAGATTCCCACAGTCTGGAGAGCTCGCTTCCTGTTTCCGTACTGTATTTGCTTTCTGGGGGTGGGGGTGGGGAGTTTCTGCTCTGGAGGCTTTCTGCATTTGAGAGAGTGGAGACAGCACAGAAATGATCCAGCACCACTTTGCCTGCTAGTTAATGATTGATAATCTTTCCTTTTATGATTCCTGACCCCAGAAGCACAATTTATGAGCACTTTCTTATCTGGCACATACAGCAGCACAAAATGAGGCATGTAATGTACTAATTTAGGGCCTGCTTAGCATAACTGGGCCTCCTCATCCTGCACCATTCCCTCCTCAGATGTATGGCAATGCTGTCTCTGTTAAATCATCCTGTACTGTGTTTCACGGCCCCTTACAGCTTGGGAATCAAGGGGAGACAGACAAGTTCCCCTGAGCTCCAAAGGAAGAGGGGCTCCTTTATTTTCATGAGGGTGCCAGCTCAGGGAAAGAAGGGCTCATTCTCCAGGAGACCTGAGCACCCACATCACAATTCTCCCCTGCAATGAGTTGTAGGCTGAGACCCCCAGTGTGGGCTGAGATGTCCTGGGCCCCCAGCATGGCCTGAGCCTGGGTGAGTCCCATATAAGACACTGAATTCTGGTGACAAATGGCATGAAGGCTCCATCCCAAGTCACAGAGTCTGGGTTCAATCCCCAGAACCTGTGTGGATCCCCAGATCTCTGCTGCACAGGGTCAAAGAATATCTATGGGGGGAGGGATTGGGGTGGCCCCATTCTGCTCTGCATTGGGACTAGAGCTTCCTCCACAACTTCTCTGACAAGTGAGCATTCAGCCTCTGCTTGGAGCCCACCACTGAAGGGGAGCTCCCTACCTCCTGAGGGAAAGCTCACTATCTCCCGAAGCAGCCTCTTCCATGCTAGGACAGTTCTCATTGTTAGGAAGTTTTTCCTTTCATTAGGCAGAAATCTACTTCTCTGCAACCTGGGCTCATTGCTCCTAATTCTGACCTTTGGAGTCTAGCAGAAAACATCCAGTCTTTCTTTAATATAACCATCCTTCAGATGCTGGAAGAAAGTTGTCCTATCCGCCTGATTTTCTTTTCTCCAGGCTAAACATCCCCAGTTCTTTAACTGCTCCTCTTGTACATGAGCTCATGGCCCTTTGCTGTCCTGGCTGCCTTTATGAACACTCCTGAGCTTAACAGCATCAGGCCTAAAATGTGGCATGATTGTCCAGATAAAGTCGGAGCAGGACAGTGCACAGCGGGACCAAAGCTTCTATTCTTGAAAGGTATGCATCCATTCATACAGCCTAGGGTCATGTTAGCTTCTTAGCTGCTAGCTCGCTCACTTTATGTGTGCAGTCCACTCAGATACCCAGATCTTTTTCTTCACCAATTTTACATTTATGGATTTGATTTTTTAAAGCCAAGTAAGACTTCACATTCAACTGAGTTAAATTTCCTCTCATTTGATGAAATGTCCTTATTGCTTGTATGACTCTATTAAGGCATCTGTTTCCTCCTCTGTGAAACAAGGAGCACCCTCTATGTGTTCTCCTTGGGGAGGTTTAGCTCCCATGGGTTCCATGTGGCTGATTCCTGGATGTATCTATCAAACCCCAATCTCTATCTTGAGCTTGAGGGGCTCATCACCAACTGGCTTTTGGACATTTCCAAGTGGATGTCTCAGAAACGTCTGAAAGTCAGTGTGTCCAAAGCATAATTCTTTCTATTTTCTTCAAATCCAGCTCACCTCCAGACTTCCCCAGTTCCAGCGACAGCAGCAGCACCATCCTTTCTGTCATGGAAGTATCCATCCAGGTGACAGCTAGATGGGGTAATGGATAGAATGCTGGACTAGGAGTCAGGAAGTCCTGAATTCAAATGCTACCTTATATGTTTATTAGCCAAGTGACCCGGAGCAAGTCATTCAACTGTTCTGTGCCTCAGCTTCCTCACCTGCAAAAATGAGGGTGATGAACTGGGTGGCCTTTAAGGTCCCTTCCAGGTCAAAAGCTGGTCTCGTGGCTAATCAGTCACCATGCATTTATTAAGCCCCTGCCATTTCCCAGGTGCTATTTGAGGCACTGGGGATACAGAGACAATGTGACAGAATACCTCCTTTAATGGAATTATGCTTGAATGCCTTTTATAAAGGCACGTGTCGCAATGTAAACAAAGTCAATACAAGGCCATTTTGTCTGGGCAGGCTTTGGCAGCTGGGGGTGATCGAGAAAGGCTTCAGCTCGACTTCAAAGGAAGCTAGGGATCCTAAAAGACAGAGGTGAGGTGAGAGGGCACATCAGGCATGGGGAGCAGTGATGCAAACAGCCCGAGATGGAAGATGAAAGACTGTGTGAGGAACAGGAAGAAGGCCATTTGGGCTGCAATGTGCAGGGTGTGAAGGGCAGTAACATGCGATAAGGTGTGATAGGCAGAGGAACAGTAATTACCCCGGCCCCTCGGCCCCCAACTCTCCCCGTGCTGCCTGGAAGCCACGTGTGTTACCTTCCCCCTTTCCCCAGGGTCCTCAGTACCCCTAAGGGGCTTGGGGGCATCCAGGTTCTCTGACATTGGCTTAAGTCCCCATTGGGTACATCCCCCATTTTAGGAGTCCTCTGAACTCTGGTTCCATCAACCACTCATCAGTCAGTTTAGCTTTTACATAGGAATATTGACTTCAAAGACACAGTAGGAGCAAACATACCAGCATTCCTAGATAGCATAGTTCCACCAAGTCCCAAGTCCCAAGTCCTGGGCTCAAAGCCTGATACTCTGGCTTCCCAGAGGGGCTGACAAGAACATCCCAGTTTAGGATCCTGGCTCCAGAGTTCTCACGGCTTAAACTTCCAAGTCCAGGGACTCTACCACCTTTGCCCAGAGCCAAAAAGGAGAAACAAAATAGACCAGAGGCCCAAGCCTATTTCTACAGGCCATAAGACCTAAAGGAGAGGTGGAAGGAGGCTCTTCTTCCCACCCAGCCTAGTTCATGGGGTGGCCACGTGTGATCACTGCAAACTTTATATTGTTTGATGAAACAGTTACAATGTTAGGACTCCAACATGGGATCACTTAGGCTAAGTGGACCTAATGTCCATAAAGGTACATTGGCTGAGACGGACAAGTCAGTCCTTTTGAACAGCTTTGATTTCTGCGAACAATGTCACATCAGGCTTTGGGTGAACAAGATCTTCAACCCCTGCCTACTGTCTGAAAGGGAGAGTGAGTCTGGCCCTGTCTGGTGGCTATGAACACTCAGTACTGGCCACGCAGCCGATGGAGAGAGACTCTCCCCACCCCTGTGGTCGGGGAGCTTGGAACGTCTTCCCTCAGGAGCAAGCCTCTGCTGGCCCCCACCTAGGTTGCTCCATCTCAGATGATCCCCGTTGCAGTAAGTTGGGGCCACGCTGGAAAGTCTGTAAAGGCCAAACAGAAGAGTTTATACTCGGTCCTGGGTTCAACAGAGAGCCAGGAGAATTGTTGGTCAGTGGAGTTACATGGGGCAGCCAGTGTTTTCAGAAAACCACTTTGAGGGGCAGCTAGGTAGCACAGTGGATAGAGAACTGGCCCTGGAGTTGGGAGGCCCTGAGTTCAAATCCAGCCTCAGACACTTGACACTTAGCTGCGTGACCCTGGGCAAGTCACTTAACCTCAATTGCCTAAAAAGAAAAAAAGAAAAAAAAAAAAGAAAGCCACTTTTAGGGAGATGATTTGGAGGCTAATGCCATAGTCCAGGCGAGAGGTTAGAGGAATGGCTAAGTGGAAAGAAGGGAATGGATTCCAGAAATGCTGTGGAGGTTTAGAGATCTAGGAAGTGATTAGCTATGTGGGGAGACTGAGTCAGAATAAAGCCAAGGTTGTGAACCTGGATGACTGAGGATGGTGATACCTTTGACAGAAAAACAGAAATTTAGAAGACAGGCGGGTTAGAGGAAGAAAAAGGAATGAATTCAATTTGGGGCATGCTGAGTCTGAGATGGCTAGGAGACTTCTAGTTCTTTGTGCCCAGTAGACTAGGGATGAATATACAGATCTAGGAGTCATCTGCATACAGATAATGATGGCATCAATGGGAACTGATGAGGTTGCCAGAAGAATGTAGAGCCCAGGATGGATGTTACCATGCCCTGCCCACCCCAGCCCAGCCCCACCAATGTGGTCCTAAGTCTCTCCACATCATTTCAGCCAAACTGAGAAAAACCTGCCACCATTTCCTTGGCCAGTCTTCATTTCCTCCCTGAGCTCCAGTCCTATAGGTCAGTCAGTGAATATGCCTTCGGTTTCAAGTGCTGATGACAGGCCGGGCACTGTGCAAAGAGCTTCAGTTACAAAGAAAAGCAAAAGACAGACCTTCCCTACAAGCTGACTGGGGAGATGATACGCAAACAGCTGCTCAAACTCTCAGTAGGGTACGTTCAAGGTGGCCAACAGAGGGCAGGCGAGTCATCAGACATTTCAGACTGACTTCTGACCTTTCCCTCCCCTGTCCCCCAGACAGGTACAGAGCTCTGCTCTCTAGAGCTCTCTCCTCCCATATCTCTGCTCTAGGGTGTCAGAAGCTGTTTTGTTCAGTCAGCATAAAGGGGACAGTGGTCTTGAACCTGTACTTGGCCGTTTAGCTCCTTCCCAACAAATGCTGATTAGACAAGGAACTATTGCAAATAGCAAATGGTGAGTAAGCCCAGTGACCCAAGCAAACGGAAATTGGAGCAGTTATACAGGTGAGAATATACCAAAGAACATAAAAGACCAGATGAGCTCTTTAGCTGGCAACCAGATGGGATTTCAGCTAAGATACAGAGCCCAATGCCGCCCAAAAATTCTCTCTCCAAAATCTGTAGCGGGGCAATCTGGAAATCAGATATGTTGAGAAGCCAGCTTCCTCTACATACCTGCAGCTTGCAGTCTTTCCCCCTCCAGTCTCTGGAGTGGCCTCTGTCTACCTGTCTCCCGAGAGCTCTGGCCCCAACTCTGTCCCTTACCCAATATACTCAGCATCCTGTCCAGTACCCCATCTCCTTCCACAAATGCAGCCTCACACAAAGTGTTCCAGGCTTGATGGGAAGCCCTGTTTTGCTTTCCTTCCCATACTGCACAGTGCAGCCCAAATGGCCTCCCGCATGACACCTTCCCCTTTGCTTGGCTATCTATCACCTCATTCCAGGAGGCCAGCCCTTTCTACCTCCTGGTGGTCTAGTGGAAAGAGCCCTGAGAGAGTGGGGCCCTGGATTCACACCTTAATTCCACCGCTTTCCTCCTGGATTCTGTTGGGCGGGTCACTTCCCTCCTTGCCCCCTCAGTTTTCTCATCTGAAAAAAAAAAAAGCATTGAACGAGAGGAACTAAGGTTGCCTTCAAGCATGAACATTCTGGGAGCATCATTGATTGGACTGATGGGTCTTGAATCATAGATTTGGTGCTGGGGGAGCCCCTAGAGGCCTCATTTTACAGGGGCTGGACCTGAAGCCCAGAGAGCTTGAACTTTGCCAAAGTTTATACAGGTGGTGACAAAATTTGAACTCAAGGCCTGCGACTCCTGGTTTGGGCACTCTGCCTCAGCAGAGCAAGTGCTGGCATCTGCAAGCGGGCATGGTGTCAGCACTGCCAGGCTCTCTGCAGTCCAGGTGAGCAGGGGATGGTTCTGGACAGACTGGCACTCTAGGCCCTTCCACCAAAGATTCACCAGTCCTGGGCCCAAATGAGAGAGTAAAGACCCTTCCTGAGTCACTGTCTCAGGGTGGGAAGGGGACTTCAAGGATCACCCAGCCTGTCCTGTAACTGATCCGTGTCCCACTCCCCTCGCTCAGTACATTCCTGACAAGGGGCCACCCAGCATCTGCCGGAGGAGTTCTGGGGAGGGAACCCACTACCTCCCAAAGCTGGCCTCCGGGCGGAAGTTAAGTCAGTCTCTTCCACTCCTCACTCTTTGTCCTGACCTCTGAGACTAGACAGAAAAAGCCTACTCCCTCTTCTACAAGACAGTCCTTTAAACACTTGGAGCAATTGATCCTGCCCTCCCCACGCCTTCCCTTCAGCATTCCAAACACCTAGCTGCCTCCAGACGTACCTTCTGTGGCCTGGTTGCCCATTTTCTTATCATGCCAGTTGAGGAAGCAATGCATGATTCCAAAAGGCCAATATCCCCCCAGTCTCTCATCCCTACCCCCCCCCCGGGCTCCCCACAGGCAGAGCTGACTCTAGAAAATGCCTCCTTTCAGCCGCCTCTGCCAGGACAAATGAGGCCCTCTGGCCACCTCTCTTTGCCAGGATAAAAATGATCATTTTCAATAACCCAGAAGAGTGTTGGAAGAAAGCTCCCAGAAGTTTCCATTTTTAGCTCTGGCCACAAACAAGAAAGTTGTTTAGAAAAGAGGGGCAGCCAGATGCCAAACCTCAAGCTCATCCTGGGCACAAGCATCCCAGGTACTGTGTTCACTATATGCTCCAAGCCACCCACCCTGCAGCCCCAGCTTCTGAGCCCTGCTTCTCCAGACTGACCTTGTCTCCCATTCCTGAGCCTTTCTGCTGGCTGACTCCCACGCCTGGAATGCTCTTCTTCCTCCTTCCATCTCACCGCCTCACTACCTCTGCATGCTCCGCCTTCCTTCAGATTGCAGCACCTTCTGCACCAGGGTTCTCCATTGCGATACGCCCGGGTATGCTAACCTGGGCCCACAAACCCGGGAGCCCCCTTCTTTCTGACGCTGCTGTGTCTTTCCTCCTCCCCTCGCCCCCATTCCCCTTGTCCTCCAGATCAAGCCAAGCTCTATGGCCAGGAGAGGGCGCCCTTGGCTCTCAGAAGGTTTGGAGCCCACGGGAAGATGCCGGACAGGCAGATGGTTTCTCCCTCACCCAGGAGGGGCACTTTGCCGACGGCTGGAGATGAGAAATTGATGCATCCCATTTTGACCCCATTTTGCCAGACAGGAGGATCTGGGGGAGGAAAAGGTGCTGGGCTTTCTGGGGACGGCTGGAGCAAGTACCCGTCCCGCCCGCAGCCCAGGCGCAGCTGTGTCGATGTGTTCCCCGAAGCCACAGGGGCTGGAGGCGGGGGGGGGGGGGGGCACAGCTGTCTGTTGTCCAGTCCTCCCCTGACACTGGGACTGGGGCCCCACTGGAAAGTTGAGATGGGCTTATTTTCCTGGGGACTAGACCTGGACACCTACACAAGAGAGATGTCTAAATTGTGCAATCCTGGCGGAGACGAGAGCCCGCCCAGGGTCCTGAGCCTGAAACGGTGTTGGGGGAAGGGGCGCAAGCAAGAAGGGGCTACGTCAGGTTAGGGTGGCCTAGCCATAGCCCTGCAGGACCGCAAGGTTCAAGTGCCTTATCAGTGATCCCCGTCACAGCTCCCGTTCATAGAGCACTTTAAGGTGGGCAAAGTCTGCCAGGGGCAGGAGGAGCTGGGGCGTCTCCAAAGGGAGGGAGAGGAGGAAAGTAGCAGGATAGACCGAGGAGTCAAGAAGACCTCGGTTCCAACCCTGCCTCAACACTTAACAGGCGCATGACTCCCCTGCGCCCCTGTTTCCTCACCTGTAAAATGAGGGCACTGGCCGTAAGGGACTGAAACAGTCCTGCCTGCTCTAAATCACGTAAAGGAGATCCCAGACAGAGACAACTGGCCTGGCCTCTTCATTCATTTCTTCTCTTTCTTTCTTTTCTTTCTTTCTCACGACTTTGGAAGAATAAACAGACCCCCAGAAGCTTCCCCGAGTCAGGGGAGGCAGAGAATGTGAAAAATGCCAGAGTACCAGACACAGAGAGGTCCTGAAAATCCTCACTAATTGACCTTTCTGAAAACAGCTCTGGCAGCCTGGAGGAGAGCCTGGGAGATGTGTGTGTGTGTGTGTGTGTGTGTGTGTGTGTGTGTGTGTGTGTGCATGGTGTGGTGTGTGTGGTACAGTGTGGTATGTGTGTGAGGTGTGTGGTATGTGGTATGTGGTGTGTGTGTGGTACATGGTATAGTGTGTGTGTGTGATATGTCTATGTGTTGTGGTATGTATGTGTGGTATATGTATGTGGCGTGGGGGGATATGTGGGGGGATGTGGTTTTGTGTTGTGTGTATGTGGAGCCTGTGTGATATATATATCTATATCTATATATATATATCTATATATATATAGATATATATATCTATATATATATAGATATATCTATATCTATATCTATATATAGATATATATATATAGATATATATAGATATATATATGTGCTGTGTGGTGCGTGCAGCTCCTTGAAGCCGGGGGGATGAGGTCCACCTCTAGGTCCTAGGTAGCCTCCCTCCTCGGGAGTGTGAAGGGTGGGAGTCTAAGCCCCGGTAGCCAGCCCATGGCAGCTGTCTAAAGAGACCAGCTCTCAATGATCCATCCTCCAGGGCAGAGGAAAGCTGAGCTGGTGAGGATCCCAAAGTCTCAGAATCACCAAACCTTGGCCTGCAGGGGACCTCTGGTCCTCCTTTGAAAACGGCAGGTTGACATCAGGAGAGAAGGGAAGATTATGTGGGGAAGTGAAGGGGTTTTACAAACAAATGCAGATGATTTTTGTTAAACATAACACTAGTAACGTTGGACTGGCTGGGAACTCAGGCCCCTCCTGCCTCTAATAGCGCCTCTATGATCCTTTTTTTCACAGAGTCCTGTCTCCCTTCTGTTGCGAAAATCCTTTCACATCTCTGAGAAATGATCCTCCAATCTCCACTTGAATACCTGCAGAGATGGCCAGCTCACTACTTGAAGTGACTAGACTTCAAAAATCTATTCTTTTATTTTCTCTGTATTCTGAGCTGAAATATCCCATCTGGGGAGTGAACCTGCTTTCTCATCCCTATCTGACTCCTTCAGGTTTCAGAAGGTGGCTGTCCTGCTCTCCGTGTCTTGAGTAGATTCATCCTTCTTGGACCCAGAGGACTAAATAAGGAGCAGTGGGGAAGGGGGAGAGTTTGGGGGAAGATTTAGGCTAGACACTAGGGAAAAAGAAAAAGAAAAGAAAACTTTCGTAAGAAGGCACACTGTCCCCAAAATGACATGGGCTGCCTCAGCAGGAACTACTTTTCTCCTTTCTGGGTGGTAGGGAGGGAGTCTTCACCCCCTCCCCCACTTGACAGTGTTTTATTTTTTCCAATTACATGCAAAGATAGTTTTCAACGTTAATTTCTGTAAGATTTTGAGTTCTAAGGTTTTCTCCCTCCCTCTTTCGCTTTTCCCCTCCCCAAGACAGCAAGCAGTCTGATGTGTGCTATATGTGTACAATCATATTAAACATATTTGCACATTAGTCACATTGTGAAACAAGAAATCGGAGTAAAAGAAGAAAACCACAAGAAAAAAAAAAACAAGAAAAAAAGAGCAAATAGTCTGCTTCGATCTGTATTCAGACTCCATAGGTCTTTCTCTGGATGTGGACAGCATTTTCTGTCATGACTCTTTCAACATTGTCTGGGACCACTGTATTGCTGAGAGGAGCTAAGTCTGCCACAATAGATCATCGCACACTGTGGCTGTTACTGTGTACACTGTTCTCCTGGTTCTGCTCACTTCACTCTGCATCAATTCATGTAAGTCTTTCCTGGGGGTCTTTAAGTAGCCTCTGGACTCATCAGGTGTGTGGTAGAGGGCATTCTTGGTGAGGTCTGGCTTGGTGCAACCAGTCCCCTTCTCTCTTGGGGTGTTTAGAATTCTGAGTTGCTTTTTGTCTCCAGGCTAAAGATGCCCAAAGCTCTTAGACTGTTCTTCATCTAGCATTTCTCTTCCACCCAGTCACAGAACACTTTTAGATGGCTCATGTCAGTTGTTTCAGTCATGTCTGACTTGGTGACCCCATTTGGGGCTTTCTTGGCAAATATACTAGAGTAGCTTACTGTTGCCTTCTCCGGCTCATTTTTCAGATGAAGAAAGTGAAGCAAACATGGTTAAATGAGTTGCCTAGGGTGACACAGCTAGTAAGTGTCTGAGGCTGGATTTGAACTCAGGTCTTACTGATCCCAGGCCTGGATCTCTGTGTGCTGTGGCACCACCTAGCTGCCCAAGAACCAAAGGAACATGACTAGAGCTGGAAGGAAGCTCCTACAGTGACCTAGACCTTCTGGTCTGAGCCTCTCATTCATTTTGCCAAGGAAGAAACAGAGGCATGGGGAATGGAGGTGGGATCATGATGCCACAGGGGTACCAGGGAACCTGCAGCCTCCAGGCCACATGTGACCCTCTAGGTCCTCAGGTGTGGCCTTTTGATTGAGTCCAAGTTTTACAGGACAAATCCTTTATGAAGGAAGTTTGTTCTGTGAAGTTTGGATTCAGTCAAAGGGCCCACTTGAGGACCTAGGGGGCCAGGTATGGCCCTGAGGCTGTAGGTTCCCTACCCCAGCTCTAGATGTTTAATAAATATTTGTAGACTGATGGCCCCCAGGAATGACTGGGCCATGGCTTCTAGGTTAGAGAACAGCCTACTCATCTGCTCTGCATGTGGCAGTGATAGTTCTGGGTCCCTATCCAGCTTCGAGTGGTGTAGACACAACCAGAGTCAATTGATAGCATTTATTAAGCACCCCCTGTATGCCTGGCAGTGTCCAAAGCTCCCCTGGAGTCGCTGCTTCACCTTCACGCTTGGATTTCCCACGGCCCACAGGAAGGACACCTTGAACTGAACCTGGAGAGCCACCTGTCTTAGGCAGTGCCCAGAGCACTGAGCCCAAGTTCAAATCCAGCCTCACTTACTAGCTGTGTGATCCTGGGCAAGTCACTTACCCCATTTGCCCCAGTTTCCTCATCTGTAAAATAATCTGGAGAAGGCAATGGCAAATCACTCCAGTATCTCTGCCAAGAAAACCCCAAAGGGCGTCTTGAAGAGCTGGACATGACTGAACAACAATAAATGTCTTATTTGTACATAGGTGTTTGCAGGTTATCTCCCCCATTAGGCTGTGAACTCAATGAGAACAGGGACTGTCTTGTGCCTTTCTTTGCCTCTCCAGTGCTTAGGGCTATTCCTGGCACATGGTAGGCACTAATGTTTGTTAACTGACACTTGGAGTGACTTCTCAGCCAAGGTTTTCCAAGATTCCCAATTTAAAGGCAAAAGACAAAAATCCAGCTCATTTTTCTTGATAACTATTTCATTTCTAAATTTTGCAATCATAGGACCATACATTTAGTGCTGGAAGGAACCATCAGGTCACCAGGTCCAGATGCTTCACTCCGAAGAGGAGAAAGCTGAGGGTTTCCAGACATCTTCTGGAAAGGAGACAGTTTGCCAAGAGAATGCAGCCTGAACTCTCTGCAGCTTCCAATCCATGCTGAGCCCAGGATTTCAGGCAACCAAATCTTTTCCCTGCCATTGGCTTCCATATGTGATCCTGGGCTCCCAGAACACAAAGGTCATATATGATTTACCTCTGCATCTCCTCTAGAACCTGGCATCCATCTCCCTCCAGAGCAAGTTCTGACCAATGGTTATGGAAAGGATGAGTACTCATTCATGGAAGCTCTTGCCAAAACAGCCTCAGGGTATTGGAAGCCTTGCCTCCCCATGGTGCTGGGAGAATGGAGCTCTCATTAGCCCCATTTTACAAGTGAGGAAACAGCTAGTGAGTGGCAGAAGCAGAATTCGAACTCAGGTCTTCAGAACCTATGTCCTTGCTCTTCTCCTAATACCATTTGCATAGGCGTTTGCAGCAGAGGTGGACTGCTGGTCAGTGTTAAACAACTGGATTTCCAAA